TATATAATATATCTTAAATAATATATTTCTTAATTATATATATATATATATATATATTAAAAAAAAAATAGTTGGGAGCCTAAGGCAAATGTCTTATTTTGTCTTGTCTTAGTGTCGATCGTAAATGTTTCTAAAAAAATATGTGAATTTGGATAAAACACACTAAAAAATATTGATTTATGAAATTAGTCATTGATTCTAATAATGGACGAACATCTTAAAAATGATTATTTATAGTGTTATTGCCAGCAAAAAGTTCTAACTAATGAAAAATTATGTAAAATGTTGTTATGTGAAGTATCATGAAGTAAAATTATTGAATTGTGAAATTAAATAGATGTTACATTATTATTATAGAATGCAAGAAAAGAAACACATTTATATTATTGATTGATTAAGTATATATATATATGAACCTTATAGACTTATTAACGAATGCTAACCAAGTTAAACTAAAAACATAATTGAAGAACTTATTTGTTAACTCTAATATATCTTTTACTAATCAAACAAAAATATATATTTTTTCAATGCTAACTAGTCACGAATCATTACGTGCGATGAATTTATTAATTTTATAATAATTATTTTACAAATTATATTAACGATAATTTATATTAATTAATAATATAAAAAATTATATTAATAATATATAATCACTGAATTCATATTATTATTATTATATTATTGTTGTTAGAATTCAATAATTAATTAAAAATTTAAAATTTAAAAATTTGTTTAAAAAGTATAAAATTGAAAGTAGTTGGAATTTTTCTTATTTACAATGACTGAGTCTACCATTCTTTACGAGTCACATCACATCCAAGTATTTTTCAAAAGAACAGTGACTAACATTATGCAATGTGGTGTCCTAAAAAACATTATGCAAATGTGGTGGTTTCCTCCATTTTCTTATCTTCGATATTCATTATTATTACACCGACAAATGTTTCAGATTTGCTTTACAATAATTAGTACTCATACTATTTCCATGCCACTGCCAACCCATTAGCTTCACAACATCTCATTGCCTCCTAAGCATGGCATTGCCACAATCATGGCGCGTGGCACCTCTCACAAAAAGTTGTGAACTTTCTCTCTCTAAAAATCTTCTTTTTTTTTTTTTTTTCTTTTTCCCTTGTACTCCGAAAATTCCAACCCATCTTTCTCTGTTAGCCGTTGAGAGTGTTTCAGTTTAGTTTTACCCTCCATTTTCATAACGTTTCCACTTCAACTTTCTTCTTTCAAAGGGTGTTGTTTTTTTTTTTTTAATTATTCAATGCCCCATTGAAAGTTTTGGCCTTTGACAATTATGACCATCCTTCAATCAAATTGATATCTCTTTCTCTCTCTACAACAAGCTACTATGTTTCTTCATCTATTTCAATGGTGGTCTTTGCCTCTTCCACTCTCTATTGTTCCACCACCAACAATTAGGTAACCTCAATCACACTCTACTCTCTCTTGTTCTATTGGATAACCAGTTTTCACTGTTTTTGTTTCTATCTTGCTACCCCAATTAACCAAAAAGTAGAAGATGAAAATAAAAATCAGTCCTTTCTTTCGTATCCCAGTTAACTACAATTAAGGCAAAAGCTATCATATAAGGGCATTATGATTTTCCCTTTTAATCATTGTTTCCACTAGTTTCTTTTTTCTTCTTGCTGGCTATCCCAATTACGATTTAGTGGAAAATAAAATCATTTTTATTGATTTTGTTTGCTCCAGATAAACAAAATATTAAAAAAAAAATGTGATTTTTAGTTGTTTACTCTCTATATGGCATAACCTTTTTCTCACTTCTTCATTTTTGTGTGATTGTGATCTAGATGAGGAATGAGGATATCCCAATTCCCTTTCATTTTTATTAATTGTTTTCACTAATAAGCAGTGAGATATGATATGAATCTTCTATTTTCCTTTATGGTAAGCATTGTTTTGCTTTGAGAAAATGCAGGGTTACATAGAAGTTGCAACACAGTGAATTGGTGACAAGATATGGAGCAACCACGGCGTTGGCACGACGTGTTCTGGTTAGGGATATTTGTGATCCATTTGGTTGGTATGGGATTGGTTCTTGGGGTTTTAGGCCTCAACAGGTTCAAGCAAAAGAACAGGCTTGACATTGATAAGTACACCTATCGGTTCATGGAGAATGAGGCTGGTTTGACGGAGGATTATTGGCCGCTTTACGCGGTGGCCGGAGGCGTTGGAACCTCCCTTGGATGGAGTTGGTTGCTGTTGTTAGGCTCACGCGCCACCCAGATGATGAAGGTGTCTGTGCACATCCTCACCACTTACCTTGCTGTCATCAGTGTTTTGTGTTTATGGGCTGAGCAGTTTTTCTGGGGTGTTGCCTTTGCTATTGGGGCAGCCCTGCAGTTCCTGTATGTGATTTCTGTCATAGACAGGTAAGGGAATGATGGAAGTGGCCTTTGGATGTGTTTTCTGTTGGGAATTGGAATTGATGTTATTTAAAGGTTTTGAATTGTCGTCACGATTGTGGTTGTGTTGCAATCTTTGACATTGTGGAAAATTGCAGACAAATGTGGCCACAACTTCTGTTGTGACGCAGTTTCAAAGACCCCAAAAAACCTTGATGCTGTGGCCACAATCACAGTTGGGGACCGTTTTCTAAAACCTTATTGGTTGTTGGTACATCCATTTAGGCATTTGAAGTTTTGAGGGGACGTTAATGTTTGAGGGGCTGTTGCTGATTTATTATTGAGACTGGCTGCATAGTTTGTTCTTAAGTGTTTCAAAACTGGTATAAAATTGACCTTTTATTGTGGACATGGAATTGTCTCTTTTTCATAACAGCCAATTGCTTTATCAATATTGTTCTGAAGAATAATTTTAGAGAGGTAGAGCTTTCAAGAGGTTGAGCCCTCATTGGTGGAATTTACTTTATTCTTGGTTTCATCAGTTTAATTGTTTATTATAAAGTCAACGATATGAATCTAAATGGTCATCTTAGGGTCAAAGTGCTTAACCTTTTGTGAGCTCTACCCCTTTAGAGACTAGCCCAATTACTTAAAGAAAAAAATGTTTATTGAATATCTAATACATGAAATGCTTTTTTCAACCTGAATTACTGAATTTTCAACGTGAGGGACCTGAGATCTTGATTCTTGACAATTTTTATTAAATGTCTGTAATATTAAAATTTGTTGAGTTGTGAAATACATGTTGACAACAAAAGTTGTCTATTATTGATTGTTTACTATGCCTGGATTATGAGTCAGATTTTGTGATGCAATTATACTGAGAGGACTTCATATTTTATCCTGTTGATGTTAGCTAACTGATGATGAAGTACTCTTACTCTCTTAGTCTATATCTCACACTTTCTTTGGACATCTATGTAGGCTAACCTTGTAAGACGTTAATTTTAAAACATCACCATTAATCAACCAGGTGTATTATAATAATGTCCTGCTTCCATGGAAATGCATATGAGCAATTGTCTACCTGTGTTTACTTTTTCTAGAAGTTTTTACATCATGGATAGTTCATGTTTTGGCAGAGAAGTATTGCAATTTTTGAAGTTTTGGAAGCTATATGTTACCATTTTACTTATTATTGTAGTCTAATTTCTTATGCTCATCTTTTTGCTTTTGTTAAAATTAGTTGTGGCATTAAAATGATTTTTGGTGGCTCGTTCTTTTTCCTTCTCCAGACTTCCCTTTACAATGTTGGTTCTACAAAAAGCTGTCAAGATGGTATGGAATCTTCCTGAGGTTATGAGAGTGGCATATGCATTTATGCTTGTTGTGCTTTTATGGCTGGCCTTGTGGTCATTTGGAGCTGCTGGTGTTGTGGCTTCAAGCATCGGTGACAGTGGACGCTGGTGGCTTCTTGTGGTGAGCTGGCAAGTTTTGCTCTTCATTCTGTCTGTGCTTGTTGGGAGTTGTGACTGGTTATTTATGGCAGCAGATGGTGTTTTCTGATTACACTGATATTACCGTCATGCATGTAGGTTCTCTCTGTAAGCTTATTTTGGACAGGTGCTGTGATTTGCAACACTGTGCATGTCATAGTGTCTGGGACAGTTGTTCGTGTTACTATCCATGGTGGTAGAGAGGCTGGGTCAGTTCCTGCTAACAACTTAATGAAATCTTTACAGTATGCTTTAACAACATCTTTTGGCAGCATTTGTTATGGTTCATTATTCACAGCTGCAATTAGGACTCTGAGATGGGAGGTATTAACTACCATTTTCTTTTTGAGAATTATTTCATGTTCATTTCCTTTTATATATGTAGGCTAAGAATTTCACCCTTTTCATTAGTCAAAATTTTGATGCCTTTCAGATAAGAGGAATCCGGTCAAAGATAGGCAATAATGAGTGTTTGCTTTGCTGTGTTGATTTCCTCTTCCATCTTGTGGAGACTCTTGTCCGTTTCTTTAACAAGTATGCTTATGTTCAGGTTGATTTCTGCGTCTATGTCATCAATTATTCCTCATGTATGATATATTCTGCATCATTTCCATGACAATCAAGATTCAAAAAATAAGATTGCTTACTTTCATTAAGTTAAACTACATGTTACTATTCGAAGGTGAGGTGAAAATACAACGGTAGTAATTATTCACAATCAAGGCACTAGAAGAGTTCTTAGAGATCTTAGTTGGGCTTTAAAAAGCAGCTAATATTTTTAGCTTGGTTCAATAATGATAAAAACCTTGGGAGAACCACACCGCAAAACCTAGCTCTAGCTCATGTAGTTGAAGAGCCTAATAAATCCCACAATAGAATCTCATGCTTCCATGGTGGGATTCAAGTCTCAACTTACAATCGGATCCAAACATCCCACCATGCTCTACAATGCTGGGCAAACACTGCAATGTTGCGTCACCACCCACGTGTCTTGTTTGCATTTGGGAGACATGGTGGAAGGCTTTGATACCAATTGATAAGAACCTTGGGAGAATCACACCATAAAAGCTAGCTCATGTAGTTTAAGAGTCCAATAAACCCCGCACTAGAATTTCATACTTCCAATGTGAGACTCAAGTACAATGCTTTGCAATTGGATCCTAACAAATGAGCTTCTTGGTAAAGCTTATCAAAATAAGCTTGTTTTTAACTTATTTCAACGAGTTCGGTGGGTAAATTTATGGCATAAACTCTAATAAGAACTTATAAAATAAGCACCTGGTTAAACTATTTCACCAAACATACCAAATGTTGTGGACTTGAAATCTGAACTCATAGGTAACTTTTGTTGAGATTTGGTGCATGTAGTTAGCAGTTGTGGTTCTCTGAAAACTTACTATGATTGTGTATGCTGATGTATCTCACAGATTGCTATTTATGGTAAAAGCTTTAACCGTTCTGCTAGAGATGCATGGGAGTTATTCCAGTCAACTGGAGTTGAAGCACTTGTGGCCCATGATTGTTCGGGTGCTGTACTGCTAATGGGTACCATTTTTGGTGGGCTGATAACTGGAACTTGCTCTGGTGTTTGGGCATGGATTAAATGGAGGGACAGGGCTTTTATGATTGGGTCCACATCTATGCTCATGGGGATGATATTGGTAAGTTTACAACCTCATTGATTGAAGTTTATTCATTTTGATGTTAGCTACATGCTAGTTATTGAACTTCCTATCCTCAAAAGTTGGCCTAGTAGAGCCAGTCATGGTGAGGAACTATACTTGCAATTTTTTATCCTTTTAATCCCTATTGTTAATTTTTTTGTAACGTTATCTCTTTTATGTTAACGTGACAGAGATATTCAATTTTGTGTTATTGATGTTGAATTTAATTTGCTGGGTTTATCCTAAATTATGTCTCTCGACATTTCATGTGTTTTTTTTACCCTCACATGCGACACCTATTGTTGAGAAATTTTTTTACCCTCACAAAATTGAAGACATTTATCATATCAATACAAAAGAGACTAGGTTAAAAAAAACTAACGATAAGGACTAAAATAATTAAAAAAAGTAAGTATAAGGACTAAAATAATTAAAAAAAGTAAGTATAAGAATTAAAAAAATATATCTTAAACTATTGGAACTTAGAAGGATTAACACATATAATATAGGGATTAAAAATGTCTATTTTAAATTATAAGGAATAAAAGGTAAAATAAGTGAAATTATAAAGATTAAAAAATGTATTTTAACCAATTTTTAATTATTGTTGTCCAAAAATAAGTTGCTATGTGTCACATGATGCCAATATGGAGTCTCCATAGCCTATAGCGACATTAATATTGCCATTATAGATTATACTATAATGACTCCACGTCGGCACTACATGGAGCACTACAATGTATAAAACATAATTTTTGTTTTGATATTGTTGTTGTGGGCCTCAACGACACTTTTTTAAAGGTATCACTATGGCTGCAATGACTCCATATCAGCACCACGTAGCACACTTCAACTTATTTTCGTGACACCCCTTGTTGACTACTACAAAGTGGGTATTTGTTTTAAAAGAGCCTCACTTTGATAATAAGTTTTAAATACAGTCCCACTTGAGTCAAAAAGCCACAAAATTGATTTACTAAAATTGATTTTTTTCAAGATTGTTTTAGTGCCTGTTTGCATTGATTGCAAAACTCCATTTAGCTAGATGTGGAAAATTGTTGCTTTGTGAAGTGTGTTTTTTTTGCATTGGAAATTTGGAATGAGTGGGAATGAAGTTTGGGTGATAAAAATAAACAGGAGAATTGATTTTGAAAACTAAGATTTGAGAGTTACATTTAAAAAGTGAGCTTAGAATAATCGATTTGTTTGGATAGTACAGTAGAATCTATTTTGATGTGTATATATAGATATATTTTGAGAGCCCCATACTTGGAATCAATTTTCGTCAACGTAAAAGTTAATTTTTATTCCAATCATTGCAAAATTGTCTTGAGAATGTTGAAAAAGATGCCAAAAACAAAAGTTATCAAAGGAATCGACGCTTTGGTCTCCACCTTGGAATTCATGTTGACCAAATAAGCTAAATGCAAATCATTCAAAACTTACCATTGCTGAATAGCGGCAAAGAGCTACAAGAATTTAATCAAAAATTTAAAATATATAGTTAGGTTAAACATTTTTACTCTACCATCCAGGCTGGCCCAAGAGTGAGGCTACTAAGGTTCAAACCCTAGCCCATAGGCCCACCAACAAAAAAGTTATTTGCTATTAGTTTACTTCAAGTAAAAAAGCTACTTGTGTTGAAAAAAAAAAGGCTCAAAATATGGTTCTTATTTGCTTTAGGCCTCGTTCACTATTGGATCACCCTACTACCATCTTATCATCAACTGATGTATAATTGAAAATTGTGAACTTTTGTAATAATTACTTTAGAAGTCGTATTTAAAGTGATTTCTAATTGGTTGATAATATAAAGTATACGGTGTCAAAATTTAACTTATTACTTATTTGTTTGTATGCATGCACATTGCATGAAATATATGTATTTTTCAGGTTGGCGTGGCTATGGTTGTGGTGGAAAGTGCTGTTACATCCATATACATATGCTATGCAGAAGATCCCTTACTGATTCAGAGCTGGGACACTGAGTTTTTCAACCAGATGTCTGAGACACTGCATCAACGACTTCAACATAGAAGTTCACGTGCAAGGGAAGTTTTAACCCAAAATCAGCTTGATTCACGTATAGGAGAACACACATCTATTTGAGGAATCACTTGATGTCACACTACACCACTTTAACACTTTTCCATTTTATGTCAAATCCTTTAGCTTTAGCATCCTTTTGCTTCATTTTGCGGTGCATTAATAGGGTGACTTAGTATTTCTAGTTAGGGAGGGGGGAGAAAAGTGATGGTTGTGACTAGCTTTGAGCAAATTTGGATATGCAGGTTCCTTGGTTGGTTGCCTCAAATATGGTCATTTTGTACCCGTAAAAGAAGAAAAGAAAGAAAATGAAGACAGTGATGGTCTTGATTATTGGCGTGTATGAATGTTTAATAAATTAATACAGTCTACAAAATGTACAGTTAATTTTTTTTTTTTTATGCCAAAAAATAAGACAATTTCATTTTAGAGAATTGTTTTGAAATTCCAATGTCATGAATAACATTCTTTTAAAGAGAATGTATAAAGTCTAAAGATGCAAAATACATAAATAAGGAGAAACAAGGGGGTTTGTTTAGTTGAATAAAATAGGGTCTTGCATTATGACATTACAGGTTGACATGTTGCAGTTTCAAGCTCTTATTCATCTCAAATATAAGTACCTCATCTCTAAAATAATTTATTTACTTATATACAAAGGACAATTAGTCTTTATACTCGCAATGCTATTTTTAGATTTGGTTTTCACAAGATATGTTAACAAATCGATGTACATCTTTGTAAGTTTATATCACCCGGAAGTTTGGCTTGTCTATCATGTGTGTTATATGTCAAGTCAAGTCATTTGAAGTCATCAGAAAGGGAGGTTTTAAATACTAGAGAAGTCAATAATCATTTAGGAATATAATTTCTTTGTTTAAGCGTGATACTATCTATTTTGGTAGTGTGATATTCGATCAATTTGTTACTATATTTAACATATTAAAATAAACCAAAGAACATGTTATCATAAAAGTAGAACATATCAGATTTGAAATGATGGTGATTCTAATGTCTCTGTTGTTCTTTATACTATTGGGTGATAACACTTTCAAGGAGTTAAATACTACAGTTGTTGTATGACTTAAAAGGTGTGAGAACGAAGGAATTTGATATGCCACGTAAGATGCTAGATAAAAGTCCCTTTATATAGAGGTTCTTTGGTGGAAAAAAAATATTAAGTTAATTTGATATGTCACGTAAGATGCTAGGTAACAAAAATATTGAGCACTATGTATCTTACATTCACCTATTTTGTAACCTTTAACTCAATATAAATTTGACTAAATATACGACAATGTAGGAATATCAATTTAAGTTATTTTTTATATAGTGTGACAACGTGATTTTTCACGACAAAAGAAATGTGAGAAGTCATCAAGGTAACTCATGAGAGTATTGAAGATGTCAGATTCAAACGAGTTGTCACTCTTTAAAGACACAATGAGTTGTTCTCTATGAAAGAAAATGAAACCATCGATGAGATGTTTAGAAGATTCTAAACAATTTTTAATGGGCTAAAATCTTTTGGAACTAAGTTTTACAAAGTATAGAATAATCTCAAGATTTTGCATAATCTTCCTAAGATCTAAGAACCTAAAGCCACAACCATATATAAAAAACATGTGATCTGAAGATCCTTACTCTTGATGAGCTTCTAGGAGCTCTGGGAGTTCATGAAGTTCACTTAAACAATAAAGACCATCTTAAAGCAAATGATTTTTGCTTTAAGAAGTGATGAATCTAGCAAAAAAAAAAAGGAAACAAATAAGGATCTGAAGGTTAAATCTAAGCCCAACAACTCAAATGAAAGTTTTAAAGACTCGACAGATGATAAGATATCTCTCATGTCTAAAAAGTTCAAGAATATGCTTAAGAAAAAAGGAAGATCGAGGAGCTTCAACAAAAAGAATGACAAGTTTAAGAAACCTGACTAGGATGATAGTAAGGGGGTCATTTGTTATGAGTGCAAGAAGGTTGGACATATGAAAATTGAATGCCCTACACTCAAAAAGCGATGGACTAGCAAGAAAAATGTCAAAAAAAAGTTTGATGGTCACATGGGAGGATCTAGACAATAGTAATCACATTTTAAACAATAAAGTCAACATCTACCTCATGATAACACAGACAATACATAGATAGAGGTAAAATTTTACTCTAACTCTTGTTCTTCTAATGATTTTGATAAAGAAGAGATGTCTTACAAAACTCTTCTGGCAAACTCTCATGATTTCTCCTAAGTGTAAAACAATTTAAAAGAAAAATATAACATTTTACGAGAAGAAAATGACAAACTTAAGAAAGACATGTCGGTCACTATTAGAAAGATTCAAACTCTTAAACAAGAGATTATTAGCAATGTCTCTCATCAGATTACAACACTACAAGCTGAAAATACAAAACTCGAAAATGATCTTGCCAAATTTGTGGAGAGGTCTTCTAAAATGAATATGTTTTTAAAACATAGAAGAGTCCCACATGACAAAAGTGGTCTTGGATTTGAATCTGAATCCGACACATTTCACTCCAGACCCAAAACTATTTTTTGTAAAATCAGTGAGAAAGGAGAATAATTTGCAAAATACAAAAATAAACACAAAGGAAAGTGTAAGATATCCTAATAGTAGGACTCTTGGTCATGCCTCTACCATCGCATAGCATTTTCATTCTATAATTAACTAATACTCAATTAAATTCAAATTAACTTATTTTTAATTTTCAAAACACATTAATTAATTTCTTATTTTTATTTCATTTTCTCGAAACCGTGGTATTATACTAAGCATCTTCGTCTTTCATCCCGTAGATAAGAAAGAACAAGCTCATTGCCTTTACACTATATATTTTTGTACTTGCTCTTCTTTAGGAAGACACTTTGAATTTGGTCCAAAGTTGTGTATGGAAAAATAAATGTCTTGGAGCAGCAAGTAGTGATGGGATCTTGGCCTTGGCCTCTTCACAAGCTAACTCAATGTATGCCCAAGAGATGACACAGTGTACGATCAATCTCAATGTGATACTAAAATAATATTCTTCTTATCCGGCCATTATAGTGAATATATTATATTGGGCCAAGGCCAACTCTTGAAATTTGCATCACCTTAGGGATTTAATGAAATAGCAACATATTCAACTATCATCCTAGTTTAGGGCCTTAAATTCCCATGCCCATGTTGTTTTGGTTTTGATTTTTCAATTTTTCTTCACATCTTCATCTATTCGATAATAATAGGCTAAAAACCTATTTTAGTCTTTTATAATAATTGTTTGTTTAAATTTAGTCCCACTTTTATTTTTTTGTCTCAATTTGGTCCCTAATAAATTAATTGGTTGTAATGTCAGACTTCTGTCAAAATTATTTAAACGGAGTTAACTGTTGGCCACGTGGATGCATAGGTGGATGCCAAATTTTATTAATGCATCTGGAACCAGAACGGCCCGTTCTAAAACCAGAACGGCCCGTTCTAAAACCAGAACGGCCCGTTCTGGTTGCACATGTTGTATATTAATTTTGAATTTGGAACGGGCCGTTCTAGATGTAAAATTAACACACCAGGAGTGCAGCAGAACGGGGCGTTCTGAAATCAGAACGGCCTGTTCTGGAACCAGAACGCGCCGTTCTGGATTCAGAACGCGTCGTTCTAAACTACCAACCACATACGTACGTCCAACAAAATGCCGCAATGTGATTCAAAAATTGAAAATAAAAATTCATAACATATAATCAATTCAAAGAAATAAATATGGTTCAGAGACTGAAAACAAAAATTCATAACATAACATAACATGTACTAAAAAAGTTCAAAGAAATTATTGAGAAGGGAAATCATCTGGATAACGCTGAAGGTGTCAATAATACATCTTATCCACCATATAACACTGAATGACTGATAGGATATCAGCATTATCTACCTATACATGTGGTTGTGTGGTGAAATGTTGGTCTTGTGTATCTTCTTCCTTTACTTTAGGTTGTATCTCCTCAAGAACAGGTTATTGTTGTTGGAGTACATCGGTCAATGACTTCAAGGGGAAATACCATGTTTCATCCTTGACTGTATAGTGTCAATTTGGTAGTAAGTGGTTCACTCTAGTTTGACCAACAATGAAATAAAACTTGCTACCATTAGTGATACACTACATTATCCTTAATGATACACTGTATAGCTCAAATGTTTAGCAATTGAAGTTATCAATGCCCATTGACAATATTACCAAATCAAGTGTTTGAAATGCTTTGTACCTTGGGTCTTTTTCCTTGCACGTTTCACAACCGTGAACTATAATCATCGACCATTTGTGTTTGGTGTTCTAGAACCAGAACGACCCGTTCCAGGTGCAAAATTAACACACCAAAACGGGCCGTTCTGGTTCCAGATGCATTAATGAAATTTTCATCTACCTATGCATCTACGTGGCATCCGCGTGACCAACAGTTAACTCCGTTTAAATAATTTGGACAGAAGTCCGACATTGCAACCAATTAATTTACTAAGGACCAAATTGAGACTAAAAATAAAAATGGGACTAAATTGAAACAAACAATTATTATAAGAGACCAAAATAGAATTTTAGCCATAGTAATAATAATAATAATAATAATAATATAAAAAAAAATTCCACATAACACATACTGCTAACGGGAAAATATATCAATTGGGTTGTCTTGAACCATTTTTAAGCTCCTAATATTGATCAACAACCGATCAAACAATCATAACATACATTTACATTTTATATTAACACAAAATTCTCCCTAAAAACTACTTTTACTTGATATATTATAAAAAATATGAATATATAATATAATGACATAAAAAATATGTAATTAAATTTTATTTAAATTAATATTAAAAAATTTAAATATGTTTTTAGTCTCTCAAATTTAAAACAAATTTATTTTTTATCCCTCAAATTTAAAATAGTTATTTTTAGTCCTTGTAATTTTTAAAAATATTAATTTAATCTCTCAAATCATCAATAACATATCTGAAAGTGATAAATTAAGACGATTATACAATATTAATTAGATTTAATATGATATTTTTACTAATCATGGCACCAATAGATAAATTTTATGTAATAATATTTAATAAATTTCTTAACAAAATTTGAATATAAGAATTAAAATAAGATTTTTTAGAATTATAAGAATTAAAAATAAAAGACTAAAAATATATTTAAACTATATTAAAATTATAGGCAACTCAATATCAAATATATATATATATATATATATTATTTATAATTTTTTTATATCATTATATATATATATAATTTTTTGGTTAATACAAATAAAAAAGGGGGAAAAAAAAAGACTTAGGTAGGTAAAAGTTGGATAGACATTGGATGCATTGATGAGACCGAAAGGTGGTGTGG